TGTTAAACTAATTTAATGATTTTGTTCGGTAGCCAAGTATAAGATGCTTACGTTAACTTTAACTCGAGAAAATGTTAAAATCAAGCAACGGAAGAAAAGCTAAGCATGACAATACTCCCGCAATCTACACTTTCACAAAAATTTCTGATAATTGAAACTAGCTCCTACACTGATTTTGGATTTGTAAATTGGTGCACAACTGACTATATAAATAAACAGATAGATAAACGGAGTAAAAGTAGAGAAACTTACATGATACACAAAGATACCAACAGAAGTATGTATATTTATAGCAACACTAGCTTTGCCTTCCTCACGAGGAAGAAATGCGACCTCAAAAAATGCTGTTCCGAGCGGAGAGATTTCCTGAATTACAGATGGAGTAGTTGAACCTACCGGCCATGCTGCTACAAAAAAAGGGCAACAAACTCACAACGGTGTTGAAAAAGGATGTGTGAAAATTTACAGTAGCCCCAATAATGGAATCCAACATAACAGCCTTTTGAAGCCGGCTCCTAACAAAGATTCGTCGCTTAGAAGACTGCCCAACGGCACTAGAAGACGATGCAAATGAGAAGATTGCAGATGAGTAGGATTGGAAGGAAGCTCAAAAACTTACTTTTCACCAAAATCGAGGAAAGGAGGGTCAAACTCAATTGGTAGCGAATCATCTCCTGCCATCCTCCGTACATTATACCTTTTCTCTCTAAACAATGCTCGTGGCAACTTAAAGAATAAAAGTTTTGGTGATTTCTGACTGACTTTGCCTTCGTCCCTCCGCTAGCAGTGTCGGATTGTACTCTATGTCCTACCATCATTTCCGTTTCAAATCGCCCAGATTCGCTGAAGTAATGAAGTTCCTCACCAGTCTGCACAAAAGCAGTGTGCAGCACCGGCAACTCATCCAGAGATGGTTGCAGTTCCCCGATACCAGACTCCCATGTGACCCACTAAATACAGAAGGTAATAAAAAGGCAGCAAGAGTTCTTTGTCACAAAAATTTTGAATGTCTGCAGCACCTCACTGCACAAAATTGAAAATTGTACCAAATAAGAAAATGTAGCACAATGAGCTTTTCAAATCTGTGAGAAATGAAACGAGCAAAACGGCAAGTGCTGTAGTCTTAGTGGTAGTTACCGCTATATCAAAACAGCATAAAACCTAAAGTGGAAAATTCTGTTTCTCTCTGCAATTACACAACTTTCTCGCAATATTAGTGCGTTTGGCTTCTAAAGTACATTAAACTCCTATTTCAATATTCACACGCCGCCTGAATGTTACAGTAATACAAGAA